AAAAAAAAAAAAACAAATAAGTAAAACTGCTTAAGCAGATCCTGAATTCCATACAGAACAGCAGACACCAACTGGTTTAAAGATCTCCCTAGAGCAACATAGTCAGCATGAGAATACAGTTTCTTCATCTCTTGCCCCATGACTTCACTTTGCACTCTTTGACCAGTCAACAAACTCTACACTTCAGCCCACCCTGAAACCCATAAAAACCTTAGCCCTGGCTGGCTGCAGTGGCTCATGCCTGTAATCCCAGCACTTGGGGAGGCTGGGGTGAATGGATCACCTGAGGTCAGGAGCTCAAGACCAGCCTGGCCAACATGGTGAAACCTGGTCTGTACTAAAAATACAAAAATTAGCTGGGTGTGGTGGCCTATGTCTGTAATCTCAGCTACTGGAGAGGCTGAGGCAGGAGAATCGCTTGAACCCAAGAGGTGGAAGTTGCTGTGAGCTGAGATCATGATACTGTGCTTTAGCTTGGGTGACAGAGTGAAACTCTGTCTCAAAACAAACAAACAAACAAACAAAAACCCTAGCCCCATGGCCCTATGATTAAATCTTTTTCTCTGCTACAACCCTGCACATTGAGTTGCAACGGATCTACTATGGTTACATTCCCTGACCCCCACCATCCCTGAAAATTTGGGTTAGGTGCCTTCCTTTGGGCTCACAAGGCACTTTTAATTCTCTTACCAGAGTATTTATCACCTGTGATGGTTATTTTTCTGTATCTTGGCTGGGCTACTGTGTCAATATTTGGTCAAACATTATTCTGAATGTTTCTATAAAAGTTTTTTTTTTTTTTGAGACAGAGTCTCGCTTTGTCACCCAGGGTGGAGTACACTCCACCCTGATCTTGGCTCACTGCAACCACCACCTCCCAGGTTCAAGCAATTCTCCTGCCTCAGCCTTACAAGTAGCTGGGATTATAAGCACCCATCGTCATACCCGGCTAATTTTTGTATTTTTAGTAGAGTTGAGGTTTCACCATGTTTCACCCCACTCTCATCCCACTTGACTAGAGTCTCCTGAGAACAGGAGTTTAAACTGTTTTATTCATTTTTATGTCTTTTGCAGCCTGATACATCATAGCATTATTATTTTTTTTATTTTTTATTTTTGAGACAGAGTTTTGCTGCTCTGTTGTCCAGGCTGGAATGCAGTGGCAAGATGATAGCTCGCTGCAGCCTCAAACATCTGGCCTCAAGAGATCCTCCAGCCTTAGCCTCCTAAGTAGCTGAGATTACAGGCACACACTTGGCTAATATGTAGGTAATATGGAATATTGGTTTTTGTTTTTTACGGAGTATTAAAATGAAGAGTTTCATTTCACTGCAATTCACCGAGGCTGTTAAATACTTTGAGAAGCTTAATCTCAGTTCTCTTTCACTCACTATTCTCCTTTCTCTCTTCTATCAAGACTGTGCCTTATGAAGTTAACAATGATCCAATCTCTAGAGTATTGCACTAATTCCCATTTGAGACAACTATCTCACTGAGGCTCTCAGCAACTCATAGAAATATTTCTGAAGCAATCATTTAATTAACCCCAGAAGAAATAAGAATACAGAAGAGAAAAAGGAACAAACAAACAAACAAACAAACAAAAAACCAAACTAGGTACAAGCTACTGGAGACATTGTAACAAATGAATTTCTCTCTTCCACCAGAAGCCTAAAAAAGAAACAAACAAACAAACAAACAAAAACCAAACTAGGTACAAGCTGTTGGTGATATTGTAACAAATGAAATTCTCTCTTCCACTGGAAGCCTGAAAATTATTCAAAATACGTAGTCCCAATGCTAACCAAAAAATGTACAATCAATCTTACTTCTCATAATTGCTATGAAGCAATAAAAGATTTGAAATCAGATAGTTTTATTTATACATATACCTAATTGGTTAGGCAGCAGATACATAAAAAGTCTCATATATTTTATTTTATTTTATTTTATTTTTTTGAGACAGAGTTTCGCTCTTGTTACCCAGGCTGGAGTGCAATGGCACGATCTCGGCTCACCGCAACCTCTGCCTCCCGGGTTCAGGCAATTCTCCTGCCTCAGCCTCCTGAGTAGCTGGGATTAAAGGCACGCGCCACCATGCCCAGCTAATTTTTTGTAGTTTTAGTAGAGACGGGGTTTCACCACGTTGACCAGGATGGTCTCGATCTCTTGACCTCGTGATCCACCCGCCTCGGCCTCCCACAGTGCTGGGATTACAGGCTTAAGCCACCGCTCCCGGCCTGTCTCATATATTTTAAGAAATTCTACAAGCCTCAGTTATAATTTTAGAAATAATTATTAAGCACTGTATTCATATTCGTTAGTAATATCTCAAAAATCTGATTTTTGGCCTAAAAAATAAAAAAAAAATCACAATTTTCTGTATCTCCAATTACCACCTGGCTATTTTCCTTTCGTAAGCTTTTTATGTTCTGCCTTTGTTACCACCCCCTTCCCTTCGCGAACGTCCCCTTCCGATCAGTGCCTTTTATCGCTACCTAAGGCAAAAATGGGAGCCAGAAAACTTTGTTTTCTCCATCTTTCCCCTCTTTCCCTCCCTTCTGCCTGCAGCTCCATGAGGAACTAAATATTCCAGATATTCTGTGCTTATTAACAACACAGCATCCTCTTGACTCGGAATCCACAGCAGTAAGAATTTAGTTTCTCCTGTTAGCTAAGAAAACTCTGGGAAGATTTTCGGTGGACAGTAAATGCCAGGTTATCTAGACTTCATTAATTTATGACATAACAAATAAATACAACTTTTAGCCAAATGTCCGCTTTATTCAATTATAAAGAGGATTTGCGGGCCAGATGCGGTGGCTCATGCCTATAATTCCAGCACTCTGAGAGGCCCGAGGTGGGCAGATCACAAGGTCAAGAGATCGAGACCATCCTGGCCAACATGGTGAAACCCCATGTCTACTAAAAATAAAAAAATTAGCCGAGTGTTGGAGTTGTGCACCTGTAGTCTCAGCTACTAGGGGGCCTGAGGCAGGTGAATCCGTTGAACCCGGGAGCAGAGGTTGCAGTGAGCCAAGATCACACCACTGCACTCCAGCCTGGCTGCAGGGCAAGAACTCTGTCAAAAAAAAAAAAAAAAAAAAGGTTTGCTAAGCCAATGAACAGACTGATAATTAAAATATTTATTCTACTTTATATATAATGTAAAATTTTATATATAACATATAATATAAACATCAGTGTACAGCCTCTCACAAGTTAGCCAAACATCTTTTTTGTTTTTTATGGACACCCCAGAGGTGATTTTTTGAAACACTAGCAATATATTTCTTATCTTGATTAGCAAATGTACAACATCTGATGATGTTTATAAACTGAGATTACATTTTCACACAGTATTTGGGTATTATGGTTTTCCTTACAACAGGCTTATCATGTTTCACAGTTTTTACTAAATATGACTTGCTGGATCATTGTTAAAAAGAAAACGAAATTGTCAAATACACCTAAACACTTAAGAAACACAACTGCTGATCCTTTTGCAGTTCATAAGTGTGATAATTCAGTGTTCACGTGCATGTATGAGAAATGCCACCCTCAAACCTTGTTATGATGTGGTCCATTACCCATCTGATACGAAAATTAAAAAAAATTTAAACAAAGGAGAGAGAGAAAAAGGAACATTACTACTAATAAAGTGTGATTTTTTCATTGATCATTTTGTTTTTAACTACTTTACCATAAAATTTCAGGGCCTATAGGACCGTGGAATCAATTACAATGAGAAGGGTAGAAACTCAGTAAAAACATTGGCAAATAAGGCTGAACAATCACAAAGAAAAGAAGTGACACTGTTTGGAGAATGAATTTGTTTTCAGTAAGAAACCAGTTTGCCTGATTCCACACTACCAATTAGAAATTTCATATTGTTACCATAAAATTATTGTTTAAAAAGAAGTGTTATAAATTAAATAAAAAGTTTTCATTCAATCTGTCAGGAAGACATTTTTGTTATAACAAATTTGTCTACAATGGTGGAGTGTCAGGAGACATGCAAATAACCCAAGACAAAGTAAACTCTAAAAGAGTATTAGTTGGCTTTGATAATTATACCAGTACAAGGACACTTCAGCCACATTTTCCCCAATAAATTGGAAACAAAGGCAGTAAGACTGCTTTCTAAGAGTTAAACTTTAAGATCACATACATAGCTAGGAGTGGAAATAAGCAAAGTCACCTTTAAAACACAAACTGGTCTGATTTAACTGTAACTTGCTTTTTATTGAAAGAATATTGCTAAGATGTTTGGGTAGCCATGGAAACAGAGAAACTAATGTACAGGGGCACTTTAGGGCCAGCGGTCATCCAAGTGCTGCTAAGGAGAGGGGCACAAATCAACAGCTCAGCTGGATGGCCCACTATATTGGAGATCAATGCTGAAAACTGCAACCACTGGAAATTGAGAACTTCTATCTTTGGGACAAAATCATCCTGTTCTGAAGATAGATGAATCAAGAAAAGTCTATACGTATAACTCCACTTGTTCAGAATCTGTGCTCATCAAGCAAACTTCTGATAATGCCTTGGTTTCCTGAGTAGGTTTGGCAGCACAGAAAATGCACTCAGGGGGCTGAGCATGGTGGTTCACACCTGTAATCCTAGCACTTTGGGAGGCTGAGGCAGGCAAATCATGTGTGGTCAGAAATTTAGAGACCAGCCTTGCCAACATGGCGAAACCCCATCACTACTAAAAATACAAAAATTAGCTGACATCTTGGCGCCTGTGTGTTAATCCCAGCTGCTCAGGAGGCTGAGGCAGGAGAATCACTTGAACCCAGGAGGTGAAGGTTGCAGTGAGCCAAGATTGTGCCACCTGGGCAATAAGACTCCATCGAAAAAGAAAAGAAAAGAAAGAAAGAGAGAGAGAGAGAGGAAGAAAAAGAGAGAGAAAGAAAAAGACAGAGGGAGGGAGGGAGGGAGGGAGGGAGGAAGGAAGGAAGGAAGGAAAGAAAAGAAAGAAAGGAGAAAGAAAGAAAGAAAAAGAAAGAAGGAAGGAAAGAAAAGAAAGAAAGAAGGAAGGAAAGAAAAGAAAGAAAGAAAGGAGAAAGAGAAAGAAAGAAAGAAAGAAAGAAAAGAAAGAAAGAAAGAAAAGAGAAAATGTACTCAGGTAAAGACAGCACCTTGCATCCATGCTGGCACACTGGAGATTTTCTCTTTCTGACAAAAAGGAAAGAAAGAAAGAAAGAAAGAAAGGAAGGAAGGAAGGAAGAAAGAAAGAAAGAAAGAAAGAAAGAAAGAAAGAAAGAAAGAGGTATTGACTTTGCAGTTGTGAGTGTTCAGATGTATAAATTACTGCTCTTGGAAATTAATAACTTAATAGTCGGCTTATACATGTCAGTCTTGTAACCTTGGTTGATGTAAATTCATCTGACTGCTAAATCTATTCTCCATTGCTCAAGACAGATGTTTTGGCTGGGCGTGGTGGCTCATGCCTGCAATCCCAGCACTTTGGAAGGCCGATGCGGGAGGCTTGCTTGAGCTCAGGAGTCTGAAACCAGCCCAGTCAACAGAGCAAGACCTCGTCTCTCCTGGGGGTGGGGTGGGGGGGGAAAGCCAGGTGTGGTGGCAAGCACTCATAGTCTCAGCTACTTAGGAGACTAAGACAGGATGAGCCTGGGAAGTTGAGGTTGCAGTGAGCCGTGATCATGCTTGCTACTGTACTCCAGCCTGGGCAGCAGAGTGAGACCCTGTCTCCAAAACACAAAGAAAGATGTCTCTGTGACCATGATACTACAGACCAGATCCTAGAAGGTTGTAGAAATTTGCTTAAGTAATGTTTTCTTGTGCTCTTCTGGATGATCAGTGGGCTTTCCCCTAGCAATGACCCTGTATCAACAAGACAAACTTTTTTTCTTTTTTCTATTTTTGAGAAAGAGTCTCACTTGCAGCCTTGACCTCCTGGGCTCAAGTGAGCCTTTTGCCTCAGCCTTCTGAGTAGCTAGGACTACAAGCATGTGCCATTATGCCTAGCTAGTTTTTTTGTCTTTTTAATTTTTTTTGCAGAGGTAGGATCTCCCCATCGCCCAGGTTGGTCTTGAACTCCTGGTCTCAAGCAATCCTTTTGCCTTGACCTGCCAAAGTATTAGTATTATAGGCATGAGCCACCAAGCAAGGCCAAACTTTTCTACTTCTTTTTTTTTTTTTTTTTTTTGGGGGGGGGACGGAGTTTCGCTCATGTTACCCAGGCTGGAGTGCAATGGCGCGATCTCGGCTCACCGCAACCTCCGCCTCCTGGGTTCAGGCAATTCTCCTGCCTCAGCTTCCTGAGTAGCTGGGATTACAGGCACGCGCCACCATGCCCAGCTAATGTTTTGTATTTTTAGTAGAGACGGGGTTTCACCGTGTTGACCAGGATGGTCTCGATCTCTTGACCTCGTGATCCACCCGCCTCGGCCTCCCAAAGTGCTGGGATTACAGGCTTGAGCCACTGCGCCCGGCAGTAAACTTTTCTACTTCAAATTAACAACAACGGGGAGGGAGATGTTCATAATTTACCTCTCTTCATTATTGTATTTATTTTAATATTGCTACAGTGACAATTCCATGCATATACATCAGCTACTGGTGGGGAAGATCGTTCAGACCAGAAGTGGTAAGAAATCCTCGAATTTTAAATGTTATGGGTAGTTCACAAAGTGGACAAAAGATACCATTTACTAAACATCCACCATATGCCCAGACACATATATATATATATATATATATATAAAATTATAATATGTATAAATAAATATAATTTATTTATTTATTTTACATATTCTGCTTATGTTTATTTATTTATTTATGAGACAGAGTTTCACTCTTATTGCCCAGGCTGGAGTGCAATGGCGTGATCTCGGCTCACCACAACCTCCACCTCCTGGGTTCACATGATTTTCCTGCCTCAGCCTCCCGAGTAGCTGGGATTATTGGCATGCACCACCACGCTTGGCTAATTTTGTATTTTTGGTAGAGACGGGGTTTCTACATGTTGGTCAGGCTGGTCTCAAACTCCCAACCTCAGGTGATCTGCCCATCTCGGCCTCCCAAAGTGTTGGGATTACAGGCTTGAGCCACCGCGCCCGGCTCAGACGCAATATTATCATCATATAAGTCTCTCATTTCCAGATACACTCATCTGGAAATCTGCCTACATTACACTTGCCTGGTAAAATCCAGCATGAGCAAATCTTACTAACCAACTTCTCTGTGGCAGTACCAAAGAGCTGAACACTGTGCTGGAGAAATCATACAAATAAACTGAATGACTTATTTCACATCCGTAATCAGAAACTTAAAAAGAGCTCTCAGCAAGCATGCCCATGCTACTCTGTTCCTCACACTAGTTTTACTTTCACTCTCTGAGATAACTTCAATACACCAAGACTTCTCAGCTTGCCCCCTATTTCACTGAGAACATACTGGCAAACTGCACGTTGAACCATTGACACATCCACCCCCCAGACACAAGAATGCTCATTTTATCAACTTGTAAACGTAATCAATTTAAGAGTTCTCGTAAACGTCTCAGATCAAAGCTTGCCCCGCAAGGATAATTCTGATTGCAGGAACTCCCTCCGTCCAGCAGGAAGCGCCAGCACCCTCTGCCGGGGTTGGGCCACCACGGAGGCCTCACGTGATCCGGCCATCTCTGCGCAGGAGTGCGGTCCTGCGGAGATTTGCCCTACGTACTTAGCGTCATGACGTAGTACGTAGGGGCTGGCTAGCCGCCATCTTGCTTCTTTTTCTCGCTCGCTCGCTTCTTCTCGGGAAGCTGCGAAAGTGTTTTGGCCGTTTGTCCATCCGCAGCTTCGGCTTTTCCAGTCCGGTGGCCCTTCCGGCCACCCCTTTAACCCCAGCTTTCCCTCCTCCTCCTTTCGATCTGAGCTCGGTGGAGACCCTCGAAGTGCGCAAACTTGACACTCACCCTGACCGGTAAGGAAAGCGAGATTGTGGGGGCCGCGATCAAAGAGGCCCCTATCGGGAAGGGCCACCGTGCGGCCCTTGGCGTGGGAGCGCACCCACACCCTGGCGCCCGTAGGCTAGAGGGCCGCGTGGAGAGGGCCTCGAGTCCTGGCATCTCCCTTGTTTTTGGTTACCATCATCTCTGTGTCTGGGGAAGTCGGCCTCCAGCTTGGGGAGCGGGAAACCGGAGTCAGACCCGCCCCATGTGGTCTGCAGCAGGAGTCCTGGACCGGTCTGTCTTGCTACCACCCAGACCCCAGTCCTGGCCCTGAGAGGGGATTACGCATATTTTCGGGCAAGCGAAGGGGGTTTCCGTCTTGCTGGACTGGCGGACGTGCAGTCTTTTTTTTTTTTTTTTTTAAAGTGTGCGGTATGCTTTCCCTCAAGCAACTGAAGGACTCAGCCGGGGCCTTCACTGTCTACCTCTTCTTGTGTAGTGAGGGTGGGACTTCCAATGAGCAATGTATGGGAGGGTCTGGATTAAAAGACCTGATTAGGTGAGAGGCTCTTCGGGGAATCATGACCAACCCTACTTCCGCTAGGGAAGTGCTGCCCAACTCCAGAGGAGGATTTGAGTTGTCTTTTCATACTCTAGGCCGTTCCATGCTCTAACTTGCTTGGTGAATCTCGGCAGCTCCCTGTCTTTGAGGTAGCGTTGATACTGGTGGTGGTAGGGTGAAGTCCCCGTTTTAGGACTGAAGAAAAGGGTATGGGGCCAGTAGAGACGTTGATAGAGCCTTCCTTCCTTTGCATGAGAGGAGTACCTTTAACGTAAAAGGATGTAGGGGTGTTTTGACATTATTTGAGATCTTTTTCATGACCTGACATGCCTGATGTTTGCTGGCCTATAAGGCTAACCGGATTTCCGAATTGGCTGGTCTTCAGCCTGGGTTCATAGATTCATACCTCGTTAGAGTACTTAGAATTGTACAGTAGGCGGCTCTGCTGTAAGATTTTCATTTGGAATGCACCAGAAGAATCGGAGGATTTTTGATTGTTGAGTGCTTAATAGCTTACTTCTGCAAATAAAAATGATAGCGTGATATTGAGCACTTACCAAGCCTAACTGCAGGGTTTTTCAAAAGATTTCACCTCCCATGTTGGTAATTAAGATTCGGCTTTGACTGGAGCCATTTTTAGGTGTGTGTCACAGATGCACTGCAGCATCTTTTCTGGCTCACCCCAAATGCATTGGTCCCCTAAAAAATTAGGAATATATTGAATTTGAATTTTGTCTCTAGCATGTAGTCAAATAGTAATTCTCTCCTTTTCTGTAAATGAATTTTCAGAATATAGGCTTTTTAAGTGTTTTTGTTTGCTCAGCTTAGCTTATGTGTGGCTATTCTCACATAATAGCATGTGGTCAAATAGTAATTCTCTCCTTGTCTTTAAATGAATTTTCAGAATATAGGCTTTTTAAGTGTTTTTGTTTGCTCAGCTTAGCTTATGTGTGGCTATTCTCCATTAGTTGACTTTTTGCTATACACCGAGCACAGTAATAAGCCCTTTTCATACATGATTTTTTTTTTTTTTAATCCTTACAACATACCTTTGAGGGAACTGCTATTATGATCATCCCCATTTAACAGATGAGGAAATGAAGTCTGAGAGCGTAGTCTGACCAAGGTTAGATAGCAGTTATTGGTGGTATTGTGTAGGTTCAATTCTGAACCCAAAGGGGATGCTCTAAACCTTCAACTTGTCTTGTAAATTATAAACTGTAGTAACTAAGATAAAGCATTATTAACTGGTAGTTTTTCTTTAGCTTGACTAGTACATGAACATTGTTACATGCTAAGGTTAAAGTGTTGCAAGTTGTTAAAAAGGATTATATCCACTTTGGAGGTGGGGTAGAAGCTAATTTTTTTAGAGATAACTTAAAGCGGCCGGGCGCGGTGGCTCACGCCTGTAATCCCAGCACTTTGGGAGGCCGAGGCGGGTGGATCACGAGGTCAAGAGATCGAGACCATCCTGGTCAACATGGTGAAACCCCGTCTCTACTAAAAATACAAAAAAATCAGCTGGGCATGGTGGCGCATGCCTGTAAACCCAGCTACTCAGGAGGCTGAGGCAGGAGAATTGCCTGAACCCAGGAGGCGGAGGTTGCGGTGAGCCGAGATTGCGCCATTGCACTCCAGCCTGGGTAACATGAGTGAAACTCCGTCTCAAAAAAAAAAAAAAAAAAAGATAAAACTAACTCTGCCATGTCATAGATATAATTTTTAAATTTGGACAGCTCACCTATATTGTTGGTAGAATATTCCCTCATCTGTAAAATGGTGATGGTAATAGGATTTCCTTCAAAGACTTATAGGAGTAAAAAAAGATAATGGATAATGTATGTAAAGGGCTTATTGCTGTGCTTATTACATAGTAAAAGGTCAACTGATAATGAGGGGAGAATGGTAGAATATTGGTAGAAGAAAATAATCTCTTCCAAGCAATTAATAATCTGTATATTCTCAGAATGATGTATATATTTCTTTAGGTATGTAAGAAATATTCACCTCCTCTTATCCCCCATATATCTATTTATGTGCAGGATTTTGCCTCTTAATATTTCTTTATGCTGTACAGTAAATATCGAGATGAGTATCTTGTTCATAGCTGAAAATGCAGAAGATCTGCCTCATTCCAGCCCCCTGCCTTCTTCTTATCCCCACCCCACCCTCTTTACTGATAAAATGTCTTTGAAGATTATATCACTGTCTCCCTCCAAGTGCCACCCCTAAACACTGCTTCATTTTGTTAAGCCAGATAGGTAACTTGTGTTTTGGATGCTATTTATGTCATATTTGTGGAAAACAAGGATTGATCTTTGAAATGTTACATAAGTTAGTGCAGAATTGTATTCTTATACAGTGAAGGAGATACAAAAGTTGTGTCTGAATTATGACATACTTTCAGTAAAGCATGATTTTGTCACCTTATGTATGAATAGGACAACATAATGAAGATTATCTCAGTCTATGTTAATTGTTGCTTACAAGTCTGAGAGTTACTATGTTAGTTTTCTAAGTCATAACATTTTAAATTCCTCACTGATCCCATGGATGCATCAGTCAGAACACCTTTGTGGATAAAAGTGTTCTATAGAGAGGATAAATAGTAAGTTTTCTATTTAAGAGACAAACCTGTTGCCCTGGTTGGCCTCCAACTCCTGGGCTCAAAAGATTGTCCTGCCTCAGCCTCCCAAGTAGCTGGGACTAGAAGAGCCTACTATTGCTCCCACATTGCCTGTTACATTTCTAGTCCTTATTTTCCTCAAGATTATCAGAAAGCATGTTATGGGGCCTGTGACTGCACGTATTTGCTGGCAAATCCAGTCAAACAAGGGCTGTACTTAGTTTCAACAGGAAACTTTTGTCTGGTTGGCTGACATGATTGGCTGATATCTAAGAATCTGAACACAAGTTTGCAATGAAATTGTTATGTGAATTATAGTCAGTGTGATATACTCACCCCTGTGTGGTGCTGTTTTAGGTGCTCAACATTAAAGTAAGATAGGATATAATCATTTGTGGAGCATGTGTAGTATAAAAAAACTACTGGATATTATACATGTAGCATACTACATAGCAATACATACTATATACTATCTAGCAATTTTTCTATTTTCTGTGTTCTGACATTAGTTTGTTTTCCTCTACTAGACTGTTTCAATGTCCTCATCACCTTGTATTGTGGTTGGCGTATACCTAGAGTTTATATATTACTGAATGAATGAGAGGCAGAAACAAAAGAATAGACCTGCAAGATTAACTGATAAATATCTTATTGGAGCGAAAGAAAACAGTGTCAGGCATTTTTTCCTTTATTTACCCCTAACAATAGTATCACAGATAACCTTGAAAGAGTTTGTGTTAAGTAACATCCATTGTGAGATTAATTTACCTCTGATTTTTTACGTTTTAAGTTTTATTTAACAAAGATTAAAGATTATTTTAATTTTGTAAGGCCCAGTGAATCAGAGCAATATGGCATTTGGTCCACTCCCAAGGTGTTCACAGCCTTAAGGATTAATGTTAAAAGTTATCTTGCAATCTTTGGATTCACACCAGAAGGTAAAAAGGTGTATGAGAAGGTAAGGGAAATTTGGTGCAGAAAATTTCTGATAGTACAGATTGAGTGCCTAGTTGATTATAAGTCAAGCTGTGATGGCTAAAAAAGATCAAGAATAATTGTGATTATTAATATTTCTTGAGCACTTTACTAGGTACTAAACTAAGATGATTTTGTGAATTATCCATTTAAATCCATATTATAGAAAGCCTAAAAGGAAGAGATTTAAGTAATTTCTTCAAAATTACTTAGCTTCTAAGTGGTAGAAATGGCGTTTGAGTGACTGATCCAGAGCCTGAGTGCCTAACTCAACTACATGAGTTTCCTAGTGGCCAGTATTTTCCAAACTTAAATCATTCACAATTTCTGCTTTGTCTCAAATCATCTATCTGTAACTTAGTATTTTTCTTTCATTCAACTTGTTGTCTTTTAATTAAATGAATTTAAAATAAAATTTTTATGATTATTTGGTGATAACTTTCCCCCAACATGTTTTAAAATAAACATGATTTTACATATATATATATATTTCTTTTGAGATGAAGTTTTGCTCTTGTCGCCTAGGCTGGAGTGCAGTAGTGCCGTCTCAGCTCACCGCAACCTACACCTCCTGGATTCAAGCAATTCTCCTGCCTCAGCCTCCCGAGTAGCTGGGATTACAAGCGCCCACTACCACGCCCGGCTATAATTTTTTTGTATTTTTAGTAGAGATAGGGTTTCCCCATGTTTGCCGGGCTGATCTCGAACTCCTGACCTCAGATGATCCACTTGCCTTGGCCTCCCAAAGCGCTGGGATTACAGGCATGAGCCACCATGCCTAGCCTGATTTTACATATTTCTATGGATCACTTAAGATCATCCAATATACTAGCAGTCTTTGTATTCCACCCTGTGGGTCATTACTGCTA